TATCCCCTCAAGTTTATCATGTTTTTCTTTAAACTCCTTTTAGATGATTTGAGCTCCTTGAGTTTGGATGACATAATTTTGTTTTCTTCTTTAAGCTCAAAGACTAGCTTTTTTGGCTATGTCACATTTAGCTAAGAGTGAGTCATTCTCAAGTTCTAGCTTTTCATTCTTAGCTCTTGTCTTTCTAATGATCTTAGTATATTGATTTAGCAACTTGACAAGATCATCATATGAATGTGATTCAAATTCATCATCACTATCACTATCATCATTGCTAGCATGATCATCACCACTACTATCATCATCATTTTGTACCTTTCGTTCAACCTTGGCCATAAGGCATAGGTGTGTAGAGGATGATGGCGGTGGTGTCGGTGAAGATAGTGAAGTGTCAATCACAATGGCGGCCACCTTCTCGTTCTCACTATCATCATCGGATGAGCAACTTGATGAATCAATATCCGTGAGCCAATCACCGACGATGTATGCCTTGTTATTCTTCTTCTTCTTGTGGAAATCTTTCTTCTTGCCATCCTTCTTCTTGTATGGCTTGTTTTTCTTCTTCTCATCATTATCTTCATCACTTGAGTCATCTTTCTTGCCCTTGTATTTCTTCTTGTACTTGTCTTTCTTAGGCTTAGGGCATTGATGAGCTAGATGACCAAGTTCTCCACAATTATAGCAATCCATCTTAGATATTGGCTTCCTTCTATTGCTAGTGAAGAACTTCTTTTTCTTGCCATCAAACTTGACACCGTTCTTGTTGAGCTTCTTAAGCATCTTGGCGGTTGTTTTCACCATGAGAGCAAGACTTGCATCATCAATTTCATCATCACTTGAGCTCTCATGTTCAACTCTTGCTTTGCCCTTGTTCTCTTGGCTAGCCTTGAATGCCAAGTCTTTCTTTTTGGTGGAAGAAGAGCCATCTTGTGGTGTGATGTGCATATACATCTCATGTGCATTGATCTTTCCTAATATTTGAGTTGGTGTAGCGGTGGAAAAATCACCTTGATGAAGCACGGTCACAATATTCCCATATTTGTCAATAGGGATGACACTCAAGATTTTTCTTACAACATCGGAGGGTTGCATTTGTGTAAGTCCTAGCCCATTGACTTCCTCTACAAGAACATTCAAGCGTGAGTACATTTCATTAGCACTTTCTTTAGGAAGCATCTCAAATAAATTAAGCTTTTTTATAACAAGATGATAGTGTTCCTCACGCTCACTCTTTGTTCCCTCATGGAGCGCACAAATGTCCGACCATAGTGCATGGGCGTTCTTGTGGTTTTGCACACGGTTAAACACATCTTTGCAAAGACCTCTAAAGATGGTGTTTCTAGCCTTTACATTCCATTTCTCATAATTTACTTCATCGGCTTAAAGATGTGTGGGGTCCTTAGGTTTTGGGAAACCTTGAGAGGCGGCTCGAAGAATTCCAACATCTAGAGCTTCTAAATAAGCCTCCATGCGGATTTTCCAATAAGGAAAATTAACTCTCTCAAAGATAGGAGGAGGTTTATTCCCGTGAGACATCTTTCTCTAGGTGGTTAAGCCTAATTTAGCGAGCATGAGGCTCCGATACCAATTGAAAGGATCAAGATACCCAAGAGGGGGTGAATTGGGCTAATTCTAAATTCTTAGCAATAATTAAGTCCTACACTTAGCCCACTTCACCCCTTATGCCTAGAATTTGATTCTATTGTTCTACCGCACAAAAATCCACCCTAAGTTTCAATCCTACTCTAGCATGGCAATTCTAGGAATGTAAAGACAAGAAATGAATTGCTCAAATATAAATGCTTAAAGTAAAGAGAGGGAAAGGAACGCAGCAATATTTTGCCGAGGTATCGGAGAGTCGCCACTCCCCACTAGTCCTTGTTGAAGCACTGACGCAAGGGTGTAGCTCCCCCTTGATCCGCGCAAGGATCAAGTGCTCTCTACAGGCTGATTCTTCGACACTCCGTCGTGGTGAATTGCCCACAACCGCTCACAATTTGAGTTGGGTCATCCACAAGCTCCGCCAGATGATCACCAAACTCCCAATCACCACCAAGCCATCTAGGTGATGGCGATCACCAAGAGTAACAAGCACAAACTCTCACTTGACCACAACAAGCCTAATGAGAAGGGTGGATGCACACTTACTACTCTCCTTGCACTAATGAGGCCTTAATATTGGATTCTCAAATCTCAATCACTTCACTAGGCTCTTGCTCTCCTTAGCACTCTCAAGGGTGTTTCTCAGCTGAACAAATGGTTAAGAGACCTCCCTTGGATGAGTGGAGTAAGTATTTATACCCCCTCATTCAAAACATAACGTTTGAAGGCTGAGTCATCACTCTGCGGGGTGATCGGACGCTCCGGTCAGGGTGACCGGACGCTCCGGTCAGTTATCCCCGCTAGTGTGTCAGAAAGAGCTGTTAAGTTCTGACCGGACTCTGACCTGCGTCCGGTCACAAAAACTGCTCTCTGGAATCTTACTAATGTTGATTGGACGCTGGCACCCAGAGTCCGGTCACTTCGCTGTTCAGCGTCCGGTTAGTTATCGGATCCTGACCAGCGTCCGGTCAGCACTGACCGGATGCGTCCGACCAGGAAACTCCCTCTCTGGAACCTCTCTGGAGTTGACCGGACGCAGGCACCCAACGTCCGGTCACTTTTCACTCAGCGTCCGGTCATAACTAGACAGCTCTAGTTGATCAAATGAACTGACCGGACTCACTCTTCAGCGTCCGGTCACAACCAGACCAGCGTCCGGTCAGTCATTAGACCCTCCATTCACTTTCAACTCGAAATCATATGTGAATGAAGTTTGCTCCAATTGATCTTTAGGCTACTTCGGAGCTACCTAGTGCTAGATTTGATAAGTGTGCACTACACCTAACCCACTAGACTCATCTAGGTCAAGCTAGTAGTCCATACCCCCATTAATAGTATGGCCAAAAGAAAAATAAAGTTATAAACTATTCTAAGTGTCTCTCCAACACCAAACAACACTTAGAACTAGTCCGTCCTTAACCTTGTCATCCATCCTTTTGAAACCAAAATGATTTCCATCGTCAGAGGCATGACCACCATGATTTCCCAAACAATTGTCATTACTATGACCTAACTTAATTGTCTCTGCAAAACACACGTTAGTTATAGTAATCTCGTATTGTCATTAATCACCGAAACCCAACTAGGGGCCTAGATGCTTTCACATGGATCATGGATGGACCAGCTATGTTGCATGGTTGATACTTTTGATGAACCTGATATGTATTAATCATATATGTTTGCATAATGGTGGACGTCACCTTCTGAAATTATTGTGGTATAAACATTATAAATATGTGTGTCCTATTTTTTATAGCTTGCGAGCTAAACGAGCCAGCTCAAGCTCGCAAATAAGCCAAGCTAGATCATTAGCCTAATGAGCCAGCTCGAGCTGGACCGAGCCGAGCCGAGCTGGCTCAATATCCAGCCCTATGTGCAACACCTGATCTAGTTTTAAAACATCTAGATGCAACGGCTGCTACATAAAAAAAGGACAGATGAAACACTTGCGAAAACGCCTGAAAAATATTTGAAAACCATTACAATTATATGTAATATCCAGATGGAACACTTGCAAACGTATGTATAAAATACCTGAAAACATATGCTTGCAACATGCATGTATATGCAATATCCAAATCTACTTTTACAATATCCAGATAAAACACTTGCAACATACGTCTGGAATAGATGAAACATTTGAAACATACACTTGAAACATACGTGTATAGCCATTACAACATGTGCAACGTCCTGATCTACTTTTTGCAACATCGATATACAACACTTACAATATACCTCTGAAACATCTGAAACACTTAAAACATACTCTTACAATATGCGCTAGTCAGGAAGATGTCAACGGCCCAGCGTACACCCAGACGTAGGCCTTCCCTTCCTGCCGACGTGTGAGGTTGATGGGGGCGTCGACCTCCCCAGGCGAAGGCACATGCCTCCCAGCCTCCCCTTTCGTGATGGACGAGGTGGATGGAGGCGCGCCATGGGATGACGGCGCGGACCGCGGAGCAGCCAGGGATGGGGGCACGAAGGAGCTAGGGATGAGGCGTGCGAGCAGCCAGGGATGGGCGCAGGTGCGGCGCCGTCGCGCTGGAGAAGGCCACGACAGGCGGGGGTGCTGCCTGCGGCGAGCAGGCCTACGCAGCTGTGCTGGAGAAGATGAGCGACACTGTCATTTTTTTGAAGATACGGAGGTGGAGCGTGGGCACACTCTGAAGCAGCAAGCGGAGTGCGGGTGCGGGGCGTCCAGAGGGACGGACGCCTGCATCCTATCATTACTGAATGGCGATTAGTCATTATTCTGGCCTCGACTAAGAGCTATGGCCTGGTTAGACCAATTAGTTTTTCTGGTCGTCCGATGACTCGTCATGATTAGTTAGACGATTAGAAGATGGACTATTATAGTGAAAAACATAATGCAATCTTCTACAACTAAAAAAAAGAAAGTAAGATCACCGTTTCGTGCAATAATCCTTGCTTCGTTGGTACGCCCCTTCCCTTACGATACCACGCGTCCTAATCTCTTACCTCGCGGTGCGATCGGCTCCCTGCGATCGAGTCAGAAGGAAAGTCGCAGAAGTCACGCAAACGACGTCGCCCTCAGTAAGAAACTCGCACACCGCACGCGACAGGCGACCCGCCCCTGGAGGCTCGGCACACAATCCTTGCCCAGTCGCCCAGCGCCTTACCTCCCTCAATCCCTAGCCGCAACCCTCTTCTCACCTTGTGATTCGTGATGACAGTGGTGCACGCGGCCCACACGCGGCCCCCTCCTTCGGCCGACGACGACGCACGCGGCCCCCTCCCGACTGGCGGCGCTCCGCACCAGTTTTCCACCGACACGACCTCCCTGTTCCCATATCCTCGCTTCGTGTGCGCTCATCGCTCACCTCGCCATTTCACCAGGCCCCACCACACCGCCACCCACACCAAGGCCCCCGATGTCGCCCTCCCTATCTCCCTGCTCCGCCAGTCCCGAGCCCCCGCCGGCCGCCGCATGTGCAACGGGCGAGGTGGAGCCATGGAGGCTGGACAAGGACGTCGAGGTGGACGACGACGACGCCAATCGCTCGGCCACTGCCGACGCTGCTGGCCTCGGTCGTTGGCCCCCGCGAGGCCTGACCCTGGCTTGCCACCCGGCCACCGCGGGAGTTAGCCCCGCCGGCCCCGACCGCTACGCAGGTGCTCTCTGTCTCTGGATCCGGTGTCTCCATATCTGTCCATTGGATCCGGTGCCTCCATTGCTGAATCCGTTCGTCCTCTCATCAGCAGCAGCTCGGCACAACCGACCACCTGCTTCATCCAACCACGACCTTGGAACATAAGTGGTGCAGCTCGATTGCCCCTATGCTCTTGTCCGTCCGCGTGAGGTATCCGCGTATGACATATGAGCTTCTATGTAGATTTGATAACTGCTGAGCATACCGTTGTTGCAGGTTTGGATGGTGATTATACAATATTAGATGTGCAGGTTAGTGCCTTGTCCGTTCTAAAAAATCCCAACCTTGCATTCTCAATGTTTCACGCTAAATGGCAAGAGTGATTTATAACCCTTTTCGAGGTATGAATTACAGGACCAGACTCAAATGTGCTCAATCTATACATGCTAACTATTGAAGCTACAAGAACATCCCTTCCTTTTATATGTCTATTGGTAGGTCGTTCTCTTCATTGCTTTCTAGCGCTGGTTTAATTGGAGAGCATTGATGTATTTGTTTATCACCCAAAAAATGATCGATTCTTATGCATTGACTGGTGTGTGGGTGCTTTGTTGTAGGTCAGCACAGTCATCAGCATGCTGTGGTGGTGAGCTTGTTTGTAATGTGTGAGGGGGGTGGCAGAACTGGACTGACAGAGTTGGAAGTATGTGGAGCAGGTAGCTGGACTAAGGTATATAGTTTAGCAGGTGGAATTTCCAAATTCTTACTACTTTACAGTTAGTATCTTTATGTGCCAGAAAGCTATAGAAGGAAGGGCATTTGTAGCTTTAGTCTGGTGAGGTAGCAGCAAGAGTTCCCAATAAGCTTTAATCTGCTTATTACAGCTATAGGAATCAAAGATTAAAGCTTATAGGAATCAGATTCAAGCCATAGGATGGCAAAATAGCTGCAAACTTCAGTTATTCCTATATCTTTGAGTTTGATTCATGGAATTGCGGTATGTGTTCCCCTGTGCCTTTGTGGGGTTTGATTCGACTGTGTTTGGGCCTCCTGTCCTAATGGTAACATTTTTGTAAAAGAATGATGACCTTACCGATTTAAGGTTGTAGATTGTTGGCTTTGGTGTTTGCTGCGTGGTTGTCAGCTCCCATAGCCATGCAAGGACAGAAAATAGAGAGGCAGAATTTTGGAACTTCCTGGTCACTTATCTTTCACTCTATTTAATTTAGATAGTGATCCCTAAGCTTAATTAAACATTTAAACTTGCTAGGAGTGTAGTGTAGGATGTTAATACCACATTTTTAGTATATTCACACTACCATGTAGTCTGAACACATATCTTGTGTTTTTATAGATTGCTTAGTGATATTAGGAAAGAGCGACTTATTTACTGAAGTATACCATCTTGAATGGATAAGCTCTCATTGATGGACATGTATACTTTTTTTCACAGGCTTATTGTTCTAAAAACTTAGGAAGATAATGCTAATATCATGGACCTATGTACACATAGTGTAAAAGCAAAGTGATATGCAATACTGTGTTGGCCTTGTTTTTTTTTCATTGGAGCACCAATCCTATGTAGAAAGTTGAAACTTTTATTTTTAAGGTTCGTAGTCTATTATTAAAAGCAGTGCACAACAAATCATAGGTCTGGTAACCTGCATGATTTCTATTTCTACATAGGTACTTACTAATGTCATATTACTATAAATATGGTCTGTTCATGGTTTATTGATGCCTTGAGCATGTTTTTTTTGTTACTGCATTGCTAGATTGAAGGTTCCCATATTTGTATGACTTTATTAGCTCCTTATTTTGATACCTTCTCTGGTACTCTCATCTGTCAAGTTATTAGCAGTGCCATGTCAAATGTTTTGGTAGCAGATGTACCGGTACCAATCAAGAAGCAATTCAACGTGTGTTAGCCATACTTTGTGGTGCATTAGCCATACTTTGTGGAGATAGAACCACAAAGTAGTCGGCTCATAAACGGAAGATGTAGCCTAAAGGACCAACATGAGTAGGCGTGAAGCCAACTCTCATGAAGTCATAACATCCTCCTACACGAAGCAAGCGGTCGAACCTCATGGTTTGGTCATACGTACACAACCACTTCCATTTTGGTTCCCTCAGAAGAATATTAGATCCAACGAGATAGATAACAATGGTTTGTAGAAAAAAAATTAGATATGGCAAAAAAGATGAGCTCAAAATGCACCTGCTCATCCTTCAAAATTACACGCAAATATGTACCACCATGGTGATGTCGTACGTTGCCTTTCCAAAAAACTATGGCACTCACATCCATATGGAAGATATGTGTTCCATTCCCACTTCATGGAATTCAACCCATCTTCAATCCCGTCCGTGTCAATCAAAATGATAAAACACACGAGTAAACCTATGTTGACAGAAAATGATTGCCTCGATCAATTACAAGATAAATGTAACGTAGTTACCTGTAGATGTGTGTATCGGTGATTGCAGGCGGTGAGTCAGCGTACACCCTCTTTCTTTTGAGCGACCGACAGGCAGAACCCATATCGGCAACTGAGAAACCAAAATCATGAAAAATATACAGGATGACATTAGTCAGTTTGAATATAATACTATTATTCTATGGAGATCGGCAAGCAATTAAAGATTTAAAGTTGTCCGCGTGCTCTGTGCCTCTGTCCTGTTATCTTTGACGTCATGTGAGGCCTCTAAAATAACTAGAACACCTACATTGTTAATTTGTTAGGATACATGACCGCAAATTTGATGCCCGTGCATGGCCACATGCCAGACGACGATGGCTACTGCTCCGTGCTCTGGCGTCGCAGCAAGCAACTATGTCTCCGGCAGCGAGGCGCATATGAGGCGAGCGGCTTCAAGCTAGACCCATCCGAGACAAGCGGCGCATCCAAGGCGAGGTGCTGCTACTCTGGCGGCTCGTTGCATCCGAGGCGGCGGCTGTTCCAGCGACGGCACAACACATGACGGCCCGAACAATGCGACACGGCACCACACGACTTCTGGGACAACTAAACTTTTGTATGTACTAAAAATACACGGATCGCACGATAAGATAATAATATTGTGAAATCAAATACCGACATTAAAGTAACATTTAATTCAAAAGGCAAAGTTCTTGACCTGCATGGAAAGAAGCATGCGTGCCTATAACCATATCAAAATCAAAATGGCTTCTTAATTCTATGATGACACATGCATCTAGCATTGGTACTGACAAATAAGTGATCGAGGAATTCCATCATGCATGCCATTCCACACCTTTGGACTCGAACTCTACGGGTCGAATTGTCCCAAGAAGAAAAGTGATACTAAATTCAGATCAGCATCTCCATTGTCAACTTGGGTTTTAATTACACAACTCATTGTTTTTCTTTCTTTCTTTTTGGGTGGTCTACAGAATTTTAATGCTTACCAATGTGGTGATTTATTCAGTACTCAACCCCATCCATGTCCTCATCCTTCTTGCCAATGCTCTTCAGGCACCAGAATTGCTATAGTTGAATGTCTTCTGGTTATGATTTCAGGAACATAATAATCACATATAAGCAATTGCTCTGTGCTTATTGGTTTTTCTATTAAAAATTGCAGGCTTACTCCTAAGAAAGACATGAGCAGAACAGAAGAACACAAATAGTTGATCATCATCACAGAGAAGGCAATGTCTCTCTCTTTCAGCAACCTGCCACTTGAATGGATAAGCACCTGGAGACGACGATGCTGGAGCCGAGCGAGGTGCACTGCAGGTCGCCGTCGATGGCAGCCTTGGCGGGGAGGTCTAGCGTGTCCGGGGCAGTGTCGTGTTGGTGTCCGTGCTGTGCTCGTCGTCTGGGTGATGGCGCCAAGACGGGACATCATGGCAAAAAGAGGCAGCGGCACGACAGTGGCTGGCACCCCACGATCCCAACTAATTGTGCAAAAAGAGGGATCATAGGCAATTGGGGATCTAGGGTCACGATGATCACTCAACGTCCGATAAACATGAAAGGCAACTGGGTCTCCTGGTTGGGTCACCATGATTACCCTGATTAGCTGGAGACCCTAAAAAATGGATAGAAAATTAGTCTGGGTCGAGAAAATTGCGTGTCCATGAGAGGAAACCATGCGCGGCACGCGCGGTGATTTGTCGGGTGAGTCACAGATGCAGGCACTCTGTGATTCCTTCCTCGCTCCCCCGCTCGCGTGGTCTCCCTGCCCCGCACAGCGAACCACGCGTTTTCCTCAGGGCGCTGCCTCCCCGTCTGGAGACACCGGGTACGGTTCCCCATCCACTCGCGGGTCGCGCTGCATATCCCTTCGACGCGAGGAGGCGCTGTGCTGCCGCCGTCCGCCATAGGCCACCGCCGCGCCATCCCTTCAGCTACCTCACGTGTCCGACGACTCCTCGTGGGCTCATGGTAGGGATTACACGGTTCCCGCTTATCCTCTCCGTCACTGTTGCCGTCGCCTTCGCCTCGGATAGCGGCACCAGTAGCTGTCCATTGTTCCTTGTAGATCTTGGAGCTACCGATCCGTAAGCTTGGACGCTGATACCGCTACCCTTGTCCTGCCGCGAGCAACACCGATGCTGCCGATGACACGACACCACCATCTCTACCCGCTGCTCTAGCTAAGGTTTCTCCCTCTCTTCTCTTCTCACATCGTTTCTTATTTGATCTGGTAGCATCTCTGTTTTTGCCATATTACCATTGTTATGGTTAGGATGGCATGGAGCTACTGTATGCACATCACCATAGAACTGGTGTTCAGGGATGTCTGAATGTTTCTGTTATTTCTGCTCATGCTTCACAGTAAGGAATAGATGTGTAGGCATTGATTTAGTTTGTTTGCCTCCTGTCACTCCTTTTGCATTGTCTTGACCCTGGTCAGCTATAAGCAAAAGTTGACATGTGATACTGAATATGACGATCTATCCGATTTGCATGAGCAATTTGGATGAGCATTTTTGTAAAATTCTCATGCATATGCTTGAAACATGTGGTCGCTCACCATTTGAGTATGTATGGCCCACTGTTTTCTGTCCATGATGTCAGATCAATATATTTGCAATATAATGAGTTATATCGCTGGTTCCACTTGCCATGCTGTTTCTTCTAAAATTTTGTACTGATGATGAAGTTCACAGTGTCAGCACACGTGCAATATTTAAATCTGCTATAATTGATTACGTGCACACAACAATTATGAAAATTGTGAATATTTAAGTTTGTGGAATTTCCTAAGCTACATGTGCACTAGATATGTGTTATGTACCCGAAGTTAGCATATCTGAAATTGTTTATGATTCTTGTGAGAAGTTCGTTCTGGCTTATGTGATAGGACCACTGAATCTTTAAGATTTAAAATTCTCAAATTCTCAAGGATATTGTTGCCTTGATATTCCAATATCTAACTTACATGATTTCTTTCCTGTAGATTCAACCTGACTGGAGGCAGGCCATATCTTTGAAGAAGGCAATCTCTATTACAACTAAAACATTCATAAGGGAATCGTCGACCCGACGTCGCACACTCGCTCGCTCGCATGCCCGCCTGGTCCTTCGTCGGTTCCTTCGTCAGATCTTCGTAAGGGCACCCAGCAGGTATGTCCACCCCTTCTCTTCCCTTTGCTTCTCTTTTATACGGATCTTGT